TTGAGTGGAGGCCCAATGTCCTTCTGCTACCTTAATACTAAACCTATAAATGTAGGCTCATAGATCTATTTCCCCATTCTCATATATTTGCATATGCACATGTCTTTATCTAGAGCTCTATAAATACCCTTGCCTCCCAGCTCTTTCCTCTATTTCCCTTGATTCTCCTCCTGTCCCACTATCATGCTCAGTCCCCACCAGGATTTCTGCCTTTTTTTTTTAAATGAATGCTTATATGTGGGTTATATATTGGGCTGCTAGTCACAAGGGCAGCTGTTTGAAACCACCAGCTATTCAGAGGGAGAAAGATGAGGTTTTCTGCTTCTGTGTAGATTTACAATCTTAGAAACCCATAAAAAACAGTTCTACTCTGTGCTAGAGGGTGGCTATGAATTGAAACCAACTTGATGGTAGTGAGGGTTTTAAGACATTTTTTTATAAGTAACAAAATACAAAAAAAAAATCTCACTACTAAAAAGCCAATTCTAACAGTGACTCTACGACTGAGTAGAACTGTACCTATAGGTTTCTGACACTATAAATCTTTATAGGAGCAGACGGCCTTGTCTTTCTACCTCAGAGCTGGTGGGTTTGGACCAACAACTTTATGGTTAAGCACCCCAACTGCCGTTTACTCCTTCTACAAGTAACAGTAGCATCAGCATACATTAATTTATCTTTCTGCATTGGATTTACTGAGAAGAATTTCAGTCAATGCTATAGAAGACTCATTGGTTTAAAATACTGATTGACATATAAACCTTTTAAAAGTTTATGTTTGTTCAGCTGCTAAATCTGTTCCCACTTCTGTTTAATCTCCCATTTCCTTCCTTATTTTGAGCATTCCAAATCCTGCCAATTCAGCATGTGAAAACTTTTATTAAAAAAATATGTATTTTTCTCCCTGCAGACTCCAGACTCTTTATCTCTGAGGTCTCAACCAGCTCAGTCAGGATGACAAAAAAAAAAAAAAAAAAAAGGCACAACAGAGTGCAAAGGTAAAAGTACAGCTTATTAGAGGGCTGCTTTAATGTTGCCCAACAAATTAATATGGGCCAGGGCTGCACTCATTTAGGGAGTATGTTAAGCAACTTTTACAACTGGCGGGACTTCCAGAGGTAAGTTGCCATTCCAAAGAGGTATATATCAATAATTTGATATATACTTGAACTTGAATGTAAGTTCATGACTAAACTCTGCCTTAATTAAAAATATGTTTGCCTTGATTCCTTTGTTCTTTTTAATGTTTCTGTTTATTTATTATTAATTATATAATAATTAAATAAATAGTTATTTTACAAGGATTAAATTAATAACAATTATTTTACTATTGATTGTATTTATTAATTATATCAATTGTTAATATATTATAATACATATATAATATAATTCCATAGTTCAATTATGTCAAGCAGAATTGCACAGTTGCTACCACAATCAGTTTCCAACCCTTCTTTTTCTTCTTGGACTCTTTATCATCATCTCCCTTTTATTCCCACCCCCCACCCCCTACTGTAACCGCTGCCCCTCCCAAACCTTTATTCTACATACTGTCTCTATGGGTTCATCATTCCTGGGTTTGTGAAATGTGTTAGAGTATAGATTCCCCTCAGAAAACGAGAAAATAAGTGCTTTGGGTTTTTTGTTTTTTCATTTTATTTAGACTTTGTGTCAAATGGACCAGGAGTCATTTTTCAATTTTTTAAAAAACATATGTGAGAAGGGAAAGAGAAATCAAGGTCTGATATATGTATAAATTCTGCACTTAAAATTCTAGGCTGAGTTCTGAGACCGAAAGGGGCTTCTCATGAGTAAAATATAAGCAAAATAGCCAGAAGGAGTACTGGGAATGAAATCATTTTAAGCAAATTGAAAAAGTGACGGGGTCTCTGAGCTTCTCTGATAGCTCTGGTCCTGGTTGGCTTCACTGTCCGGTCCCATTGGGTCAGGATAGCATTCCTGGCCCCATCCCACTTCCCTGGACCCATTAGTCTAAACTGGTATGGGCTGCAAGGGCCAAAGTACACCTCCAGGGCCAGCTGGGGATCGGTTAGGAAGAGCCATGGGATATTTGGCTTGGTCCCTATGAAGGAGCCCAGCTCATCCATGTAGGTGATATAATCTGTCTGCAGAGTCTGGCTCTGGCCAAACCTGAGGAAAGACAAGAACACAATGGGACAAGTGTAAAACATGTAAACAGAAGCACTGCTTGCTTATCTCTCACATCAGCAGAGAAACATTTAATCAGCAACTTCAGTGACATCCTCACACCTCTCTTTTTGGACCGCATTGAATTTAGTGAACAATCTTTGTCTGTTTCACCAAAGCGCACACTGCTTCTTTCTCTTTTCTAAACTCCATCCAAGTTTCTGGTCGTGTTGAGTTCTTGCCCCTTGCCATGTGGCCTGCAGTGAACTGATCTTAGGGTTTTGAGGTAAGTGATTAACTTAGTTTATCCTTAGCATATGATTGTTTTTTAGGAATGATCCTAAAAGCAACCCTATTTGGAAATTCCCCAATGTTACTTAAAACTATTTATATGGTTCACATTAGGTTTAGGTATGATCTCAACAGTGCTACAATGTCTGAGTAACATTTCATCTGTCCAGTTAATGTGGCCTCATTTGCTTATAGGAACCCGGGAAATCAGCCTGTCCTTTAAGCAATTAGATTAACATTTAGGTCTCTCTTTTTGATCTTCTTTTAAGCCTTTGGTCTCGAATAGAAGAGGAAGTAAGTAGAGAGAGACCTTTATCCACTGCTCAAATACAGCTATTTGTGGGGTCCTGAGATCTCTTCACGCTCCTACTGAAAATCACATTTGTTCTCAATAGAGTGGAATATCAAAGGCTCTAGGAATTTGCCCTCGCTTTCTAGATGCCTCCCAGTTACAACTGGTGCCTGAGTCACATGATTAAAGACCGATCTTTTCTATCCCAGTATTAGCATATGCGAGTGCCTGCCTCACAGAACATCCTTTTAGCTAGATGAAGCAGTACAGGTGAGACAGTTGGTAAGACTCGATTCCAGTGCTTTTTTAGGCCATCTAGTCAATAGCGACCTTGGGGCTTTCAGTGAACGTCACCTTAGATGCTCGAAAGAGGGAAGAAACTTTCACTACAGTCAATTATCCAACCAAAAGTGCTCTGTTATCTATTCATTCTTTCAACTGATTCTGGTGTACAATTTCAAAAAGATTTATAGAAGCAATTAACAGGTGAGAAGTATATTTAAATGTCTGATGTCTAGCCACTTACATGACTTCCTGCAGATCCCCTTTATGTGGTTGTTGAAATACATACTGGAATGAATCAGAAGTCTAGACCTTTGTAGTGGAAAACACACTCAGATATTTAATTTTAAAATCTTTGCAAACCTTTCTGCTCATTATTTGAGACTCAGACCAAGTTATAACTTCATGAATAATCATTTCTTTCTCTATAGACTTGTCTCTTTATCTTAGAGACAACCTACAAAATGATTCAATACCCACCTATTGCCATACAGAGATAATCCCCAACTGACACCAAGTTTGAGTAATGGAGAACCACACCTATGACTATCCTTTGTGTGTGTGCTTACAGCTTATTAGTAATGTGCACAACATGCAAGGCTGCAATTTGCTGATGTTATTCTTGTACCAAGTCCAAAGACAACTAAATATCGAATTGATAAAAAATACTGGTAATAAAAGTCAATCCTAATGAAAATTTAAAAATCAAGATAAATTTGACTTAAGCCAGAAGCAACTGATGACACAGTCATTAGGATGGAGCCCTGTTATTAGTCACGAACTACTTGCATATATAATGCATATGCTTATTTGTTTATTGATTGGCTGATTTTAATTAGAAGGAGACTTAAATCTAGTTCTCAAGAAGATTCTAAATTCCTTGATGATAAAGAGTGTGACTTTCTTTTGGGAGTGGATCCCAAGAATAGCCACTTGGAACTTACAGCCCTAGTGGATTCCAAGAATATTTCTTGGAACTTACTGCCGAAGTGGTACTGTACAAAATACTTTGCAAACAATATTTTATATCATACCAAAGCTATGAAGTAGATATTTCTTTTATCATATTACTATGAAGCAAATGGATTTTAAGTGACTTGTTTAAATTAGAACCCATCTCTGTGATGCAATTGGTTAGCATGTTGGGCTGCTAACTTGAGGGCTGGTGATTTGAGCCAACCCAGAGATGAGTCTTTCAGCTCTAACAGCGGTTCTCAACCTGTGGGTCACAGCCCCTTTGGGGGTAGAACAACCCTTTCACAGGGGTTGCTCGATTCATAACGGTAGCAAAATTACAGTTATGAAGTAGCAACAAAAATAATTTGATG